CTTTCGAATTTTAATTTCAAAATTTACCACACTTGTAGCCCATGGTCATAGTAGTACGACGGAAAATATTTTACTCCCTTGAGATATTGAGACTCAAATATTTGACCCTCACCCTTACCTTCTGGTGAAATGTTCGAGTCTCTATATCTCAAGGCAGGAAAATTTATTAGCACCGAATATTTTTCCGTCGTACTACTATGACCATGTGGCAAATTTTGAAATTAGAATTCGAAAATTGGATTTTGCTCGAAATGCAAACTCTATGGACAAAAATTGACTAAAAATTCAGTATCTCAACAACAATGCACAATGGAGATGAACCAAGGTGGCATATTTCACTACTCGTTAGGGCCTTTCTAACAAAAATAGTCCCAACTCGAAATCGATTTATAATCTCGGGTGGTTTCTTCGTCAGTCCATTGTCTTATAAAATGTATTCCAGCCGAAAAACGAAAATGTTCTCAAAAATGGTGGCTTCTCCAATAAGATACTTCATTAAAATATGTATTAGGTCTCTGTTGAGTCTAAGTCAAATATTCCATATTATCAACAAATATAAGGCATAATTTTATGGAGCAATTCATTCAGCGTTAAAATAGCATTTCGACATGAACATATACAATATTTGATCAGATTAATCTTACTCTCGCAATGTCGGTTGACGAACACCACAATCGAAAAAAGAGCAGCGTTTTTTATTGTCCTCATACATCGAATTGAAAAATCCACTTGTTTTCCGTTTAAAACAATTGAGGATTATTCACATCTTTAAGTGCTATAAACTGATGATTCCGTTTGTCATCGAATTCTTAAGACTAGAGCTTAGAAACTGCTCATAGTTGAGAGAGCACGTTGTAAATAATTCCGAAATATTATTCCACAGAAAAGTGATCGTACTCTAATCTGTCAACAACAGAAAAAATGAGGCTATCAACTAGTCAATGATTTTTAATAATTTAGATGGTGATCATCAGCAAAAGTCTTCGGATAGCCACACGGAGAAAAACGGATATTTGTATCAAAATCAATTGATAGCAACTGCTAGTAAAATGTTCAATCAATTGTATTCACTTATAAAAAATGCCAAAGCAAGAAAACGAACAAATGATGATGTTAAAATTTTATTTGATTCTTATATTAAAGAACAAGGAAATAATGTTAAAGACGATAAAATAGAACATCTGAAGCTATTAATAGCACATATACATGAGTCATATCAAAAGTATGAAAAAGATTTTATACCACCAATATATATGATTGAACAGTACTTTTTCAACGATATTGAAGAAACAAAAAATAGACTAATAAGAAGTCAAATTCAAGTTGCTGAAGAATATTCATTAACTGCTGAAGAAAAATTAAGACCTTTTTCTTTACAATCTGGTTATCTTACCACAGTAGCAAGTATAGAAAATCCAGCAGATATAACCAAAATACTATTGTCACCGGAACATTGTCAAGACGTTTTATTAATATCAAATATTTTGAATGATATTATCGAACAAACGAAACAACAACAACAACAATCAACAATTGACATCGCCCTTCTTAGAGAGTCTATACAAACATTGATAAATAATATTGATTATGACTTAAGTTTTTTCGGTGTTATATTAACGAAAGTAATGAAACAGTTATTCCATTTGACATTAATTCTGTTATTAGTTCAATTTAATTACGACAAAAAGGAAATGTATTTGAACGAGATTAAATCAAATGAAAATGAGTTACGAGAATATTTTGTTCAAAGTGTTACGGATACAGGACAAACACGACAAAGTGAATATAACGTAGAAAAATTATGTCTGAATTACGTATTATGTAGAGAAATGATAAACGTTTGTGATGAAAATAATAAAATTTTGAAAGAAAAGACAAGTTGTGACTTGGGCATTTATTTAGCTAGAATGATGATGGAACCAGAACGAAGTGATTTTGCTGATATTGAGACAATTTTGGATGATGTATCATTTTTCAGAGAAGATCGAGTTTGTTATTACATAGTTAAACAATTAAGCGACAAGAAAATTAAACTAATTGCTTCTCGATCGATCGCTGGGCGTTTATTATTATTACGTATTGTTAGAATATTAAAATGTGGTCGAACAACAGTGAAAGAAGCAGCATACATTCAGCGACTCATGTCACTTATAACAAGCGTAGTGCCCAACGTTGAATCCGCTGAATCTGATTGTGTTGAGGTTGAATTACTTACGTACAATACAGGTACATGTCCACCGTTAGACTGGTTTGGTAAAATAACAGTTGGAGGAACTGGACATACACTTCTAATTGTTGGTGGATATGTATATAGTTTTGAGGGTGCACGTGGCTGGACAGTTGGCTGCATAAAACAACAATATCTTGACAATAATGCGTTTCGTTACGGCATAGGTCAAGTGCTGAAAATATCAACATCAGACGCAAAACAAATTCAGCAAACATTAGCTTCTGAATGTAATCATGGTTTATACGGGATACAAGGTGATTGTACATATAATACGTGTAAAATACTGCAGCCATACATAAAACCAATACAACCAACATGGTCGCCGCAGAAACTTTTTCACAATTTAGCAGCGAATGACTTGGTTTTAGAAACAAGACACTATAGAACAATGCCACATTGTCATCAACTTATAACGCAATGCGGTCCATTGCTGTATGTACCGCATGCTGTAATATAATGAATCTACTCTTTGATCTACCATAGTAGCATGCAACAGCGTATCTTTTTGCACATCAGTGGGATTCATAACCATAATAGGCTTTTATGTTTTCGGTTTATATAAACAATACACTTAACAAGTACATTGTTTATACTTAGTTTTTTTTATCATTGCATCTGCACAACTTATCATAGTACCGTTGGTCATTGTCACCGGCATCACTAACATAGTAATGTCAAAGTCTGTGGCGACGTCGACGACATTTAAGCTTTTCATAAGATGAGGATGAAAGTAAATATTTGGATGTAGAGAATGTCACTGAGACCACTATAGATGTGTCGGAGCAAAATTTAGTCACGAATACCTGTGGAACTGTTAAACTCAGAGAATGCCTCGACATACATGATGTGAAAACATATCGTCTGAAAACACTCTGGTATTTTTCCAGTTCAGTGATGGAGATTTTGTAACTTAACTATCTTTCTTTTTCATCATAATCCTTTCTAACTATCACTTTTTCTCTTTGTCCTGAATGGTTTGCTTGCCTTTAATGCTGATCGCTACGTCGTGTGAGCCGCTTTGAACTCTTCTTATCCTCGTTAATTAACGAGTTAACTTTTTCCCACAGGTATGATGGTCAGAATAAAAATTGTTTTGTATTTTAACAAAAAGGCTACTATCTGTTTCAAAATATGATGCACCCGGATGTTTGTTGAATAACTGAAGAATGAATAGGGATTCTAAAAGTAGACAGCAGGAGCATAATCATATGTAGACTTGAGCCAGATCCGACAGGTCTACTGCGATGTACCATTCCGAAATCTTTTTGTATCATTTAAGAAAGTCTTTTCTTGCAAAAAGAAAAGATATCCCATGAAATAATTTTGATACCTTAACGCAGGTTAACATGCGTTAAAAAAGAAGTTTTCGAGAAAATTGTGTCTGAACGGGTTAAATTTTCAAATATGACGCGTGCTAACGTTTCTTCGGAGCGGTAACGGGACAGATCCGGTTAAATATGGTTCTAAGAAATCTAACGAGTTTGCACGCACTCAAATTTTCCAAAAATCGATGATATACGGTGTAAACGCGTTTAAAAATAAAGAATACATGTACATTCCTGAATAAAAGTTTATCT